ACTGAGAAAATAGGGGAGAGTGGGACACATTCGTGCAAAAAATGGATAAACCCATAGGGGAAGCCGGGGGAAGCCCGGGCGTGGGGGAAGCCCGGCCACCCCGTTTCCGGCTAAATTATTCACAATAAAATGCTCAACTGTTTGTCCTTTCAGCGTGGCAGCTAAGGTAACGCCAGCAAAAAAGTTAAGGCTGACAAAAATTGCATATTGTTAAAGTTATAGCGCAAAAATGATATTTTAAGGGTTTTTAGCTAAAAAGTGAGATATGTTGCACTGTTAATGTTATACCATACAGTACTAATATTTATACGAATGTCATGTAAGGACCGTTTAAGTGTTTGTAGTGAGTGGTGACGAGGCAGGCTGGCTTAAGTATGACATTTTTTTCGAATATCGCTGTTCTAAAATAAAAATTAGCACATTGGGGTAACCCCGGGCGAGTGGCCAAGCTTACCCCCAACCGAGAGCAATGCCACTAAACCACTGTTTTCCATGAGATAATAGGTACTGAGCAGGTTTGGTTTACACCTAGATCAAAGATAAATTTCGAAAATAAACATGTTATCATAGACAAAGCCAGTCATGTCACTTAAGGTCAACTAGGGTCAAACTACGTTTTTGCAGATAACGCGACAGACAATGAAGCTAGAGCTTAAAAAATGGTGTGGTTGTGTTCTTCTTCATCAGCCGAGTCGAATGATATGCAATATGATGCATTAAGGTAAAAAGAAAAATAAATTTTAAGGAATTTTGAAATACACATTTTTTGTCAATTTTGCATCACGATTTTCATCGACCTGTACTGTATATGTAGTAGACGCTAGCTAAAATACCAGTAGTGACATAAACTCTAAGATTCCAGAGCTAATCAGTACCTTAATATTTCACTTTCCGTTAATATTTGGAAAACACATAATGGTTTCATCAACTCGTTGTAAAGCGCTGGGGAGGTGGCCGGCGTTACCCCTATGCCGGGCTTACCCCAGAAAAATCAACACTTTTTTAAAACTCGATTTTCTCAACCTTATACTTATTCCACGAAACCGAATTTTTGGGAAAACACGGCCAATGAACTTAGCTAGCTAGCAGGATATCAACATTTTATACAGCACGTATGGTGTGTAATAAAAATGAAAAAGAGCTTACTATGCCGGGCTTCCCCCGGCTTCCCCTATATCTGTTCTTTGGTTAGTGCAATGGCAAAATTGTTGATTGTAGTATGGAAAGGAACTATTGCAGATAGTTTTCCTCTTTAAAAGTTATCCTATAAAATTATTGCTTCCATTAGAAAAAATGACTTTTATTAACTCTGAACATTTGCACGAAACTGCCCCACCTATGGGGCACATTCGTTCAAGAGATGGGGCACTTCCGTTCACCCGGCAAAATTCGAGAAATTACCGGGCATTACCAGAAATTTACCAAAGGAAATTGGCAGGGGGTCATTTCACTTGATTCCTTTCGACAAGAATGCATTGCACAACAAATGTAGAAAGAATGGGCTGGCCAACAAGAATGTGCCAACTGCCGGCCTCCGTGACCTCGCCAAGTTCGCGTGAATTGCTCGTCACGACGTCGCAAGCAGTCGAGACTGAGTCAGGCGAGCGTCATTAGAGAAACCTACTACAGATAAAGTCATAAATCGCAAAAACTAAAAAAAATATGCACGAATGTGCCCCCAGGCAGTGCGTACACGAACCTGCCCCACAACGTTATTAGTAATATATTTCAAAATTTCTTTTTGAAAAAATGACACTTTTTCAACAAACAAGTTTGCAGCAGTTCCGTGAATAGAGTGGGCTTCTTCACCCCCAATTTTGAAAAGCTGAACCACATTTCCGAGTCAGGATCACGAAAATGGATGATATGAGAAAAGTTTGGAAAGCTCACGAATATTACAAATTTGCGTTTTTATCAAGCATGACAGCAGGTACAGTGTTGTCTTCTACGGTGAACGAAGGGCGGCAATGATAGACATATTTCCATAATTTACCTTGAGCTCGTGCAGTCACTCGTCTTCCCATAAACTGCTGAAAACGAATGTGCCCCATGCACGAATGTGCCCCACTCTCCCCTACATCAAGACCGTGAACTTAGTTAATGGCGAGGAAAGCCCATCTTATGCACTTACCGAAAATGAAGAAATAATTTTCAACTTGGTTGCATGGCCTTTGCAAGGGAGTCAAGAAGTGAGTGACTACCAGTGACTGACAAGGTGGTGACTGTGAAGGAAGTGGAGGTCCTCATCCTTACAGATCGTCGTGTGACCTTTCAGATGATTGTGCAACAGAAAGGTCTCAATGCTGGCAGTGTCTGAAAATATCATCAGCGAAGAACTACAGACGATAAAGGAGTCAGCCCGCTTAGAAGTTCGTGTGTCTACTTTGTTCGAGAGAAAAATTCGTCTCGGCCTTTCGAAATGAAAACTAGGCCTTTTTTAGGAAATTGAAGACATCTTTGATCATTTGATGACTTGTGACGAATGCTGGGTCTATATGCATGATTCAGAGACAAAAGGATGATCTAGAAGTTTAAGCACGGCACATCTGCCCTTCTTAAAAGGCGAAGATGCAGAAGCCGATATGGAAAGTCAATGCTCTCAGTGTTCTGGATGTGGCGTAGGATAGTCATTACCGACTGTCTTGATGATGGTCGGATAATGATAAGCAAGCACTACTGCACACTTTTATGGCCGGTGATTTAATGACAGAAATGACGTCATTGATGAGGTGAAGCAGTGATTTACGGGACAGTGCGAAGGTCCTACAATGACCGCCTGAGGCAGTTCAAGAAACGATGCAATAAGTTTCAGGCACGTACCCAGGATTTCGCCCAGGAGGGGGCCAGCTGCTTTCGAAGGGGCCCCCACAGTGTATAGGGCCCCCAGGTTCCCCGGGGGCCCCAGGGAGTCATGAAGAACCTTTCGATGGTGGGGGGGGGGGGTTCATAGTGGGTCCGGTCTCTCCTGCAGACGTAGGTGAGAAAACGCCACGTGTGTAGGAAAACGCAATTCAGTTCTTTACAACCTAATGTAGCATTGGGTTGTGATTTCTCGCGTTCAACTTCATCAAAGTTAATTAAAACGGTCTCTGTAACGGTCTAAGCCTTGAGAAAATGTGGAAAATTGGAAAGTAAAAATATTTTTGCTTGAGGAGTGTGCATGAAACGCACGGCATTTTATGAGCGAGCGCCTCAATTACTGAACATCCTCCAATTCCGGATATGTAGGTATATATGTAATATAATAGTGGGGAATAAATGTCTCGTTATCGGAATTCCACTATCTGGCAACTAGCCCTATGTAAACGCGGCTACTATATGTTTCACTAGGAATCGAGCGCAATTGTACTTTTAGCCAGAAAATAAATGCTTGGGTAATTCAGGGACACTCTGTATTAATTGGAGGAATAGGACTTAGGAGGAAATGCGATTGCAAATCGACCCACATCCCTGTGTTAGCCAATGACGCCTTTGGGGCCAAGGTTGGGGGATATTCAGTTTAGCCTTTTTGTTTTTCTGTGATATCTCCGGCACCGTGAAAGATATTGGCTCCTTCAGATGAGTGCCTACTCCAGTCACTACTTATATCCAGTAGCCAGTAGCCACTCAGATGATTTGGGATCAATCAGGTGATAAGCGTACTTTCAGACGACCAGGGGCCCCCAGTCGACCAGGGGTTCCCAGGCGACCAGGTCCTCCAGATGACTAGGGGCCCCACTGCCCCAGGCGACCAGGGCCCTCCAGGCGACCAAGGGCCAAGGCGATCAGGTTCCCAAAGCGATCAGGGGCCCCCAGGCGACCAGGGGGCCCCCATGCGACCAGGGGGCCCCATGCGACCAGGCCCCCGGCTACCAGGGGCCCCCAGGCGACCAGGGGCCCTCTAGGTGACCAGCGGCCCTCAGGCGATCAGGGGCCCCCAGGCGACCAAGGGATCCCAGGCTTCCAGGGGCCCAAGGCGACCAGGGCCCCCCAGGCGACTAGGGGCGACCGGGGGCCCCAGGCAACCAGGGGCCCCCATGCGACCAGGCCGCCCGGCTACCAGGGGCCCCCTGGGCGACTAGGTACCCCCAGGCGATCAGGGGCCTCAATATCATGCAACCAGAGGCCCCCATGCGACTAGGGCCCCCTAGGCGACTAGGGGCCACAGACTATCAGGGGCCCATACGACCAGGCCCTCGGCTATCAGGGCCCCCTAGGCAACTAGGGGCCCCCAGTCGATCAGGGGCCTCATGCGACCAGAGGCCCCCCATGCGACCAGGGCCCCTAGGCGACTAGGGGTCACAGGCTATCAGGGGCCCCCATGAGACCAGGCCCCCGGCTACCAGAGGCCCCCTAGGCGACCAGGGTCCCAGGAAACTGGGGCCCTTGGATGACTGCAGGGGCCCCTCGGGTACCCAGGGCACATAAATGAAACTTTAATATCAATTTTTCTTTCGAGTAAAAGACGTTTTATCCAGTGTTTAAAAAATATCCTGGGGCCTGAGGGGCCCCCTGAGCGCCTTCGGCGCTCAGGGGGGGGGGGGGGCCTTGGCCCCCATGGCCCCCCCCCCCTTGGGTACGTCACTGATAAGTTTGCGGTCGTGTGTGGTGACTTGTGAAGGAGTAATGAACATCATGTAAAAAAAAATCAAATTTCTATCACATCTAATTCATGGTGATGATCAGAACTTTTCGATACCCCCTCGTAATGCGATAAAAAATACGAGGCTGCAAAAATACCTACCCTTAAATTGGGCGCTTATCAACACACCATCAAGAGCCATGCAACGTCAGTTCCATAGGCGGCGGAACGGGGAGGGCACCGGGGCACCGTGTCCCCCTTTGATTTGGGCATTTTAACATTAGCCCTATGGGCGTTGCATGGAAAGAATGGGACCAAAAGTCGGCAGTGCCCCCCCCCCCCTTAATTGAAGGTGTTCCGCCGCTACTGATCAGTTCCCTTGATTTTAGGCACTGATTTCCTTAACTCGTGACCTCATCTTTCTTTCCAAAATTTCCAAAACACAGCGCTTTCGATTTCTTACACAATTACCTACATTTAATCAGACATGTCTACAAACCTACAATCATAATCCAATTAATACTATAAGGAAAAGTTAGAACCAACTCCTTCCACTTATTCCATCGATTTAATTGATCGAGTCTAAGAGCAGCGCCGTCATTGGCGGCATTTGACCGCACTTTGACCCCTGACAAGCCACTGCTCTGTTCAAAGCGCAATTACCTACCACGTAGATAGATGCTCTTACATACACTTCTGCACACAAATATACATACACACATACATACACAACCACCGGGTCAGCAGACCGGCCTACACATACAAACACAGGATGTGTGGGGTGCACCTTCATCGTAGGAACCACATGTCAGCAGGAGTTGACACACAAACTGTCAGCTTGGCGGTCGACAGCGGGTCCAACAGCGAGGCTGCCCATGGCGGCCCGCATCAGTCTGCAGGCTTGACAAAGTGGAGGACTTCTCAGGAGTCGGACCACCCACACCCACCGGCTAAAGACTTCTTAAACGCGCCGCTTTTGCGCCAGAGCTGCGACTCTGCCGGCGCCGGAAATTGAATCAGCCGCGGCGGCGGCGTCACGGTGGTTGGTCGTCGGATGCCGCTCGTTACGTCGGCACGCGTCACGAGCTGTGACGTCATCCACCATGACGCGCGCGTGCTGATGGGCGCAAGTGGTGAGACGAGCTGAAGATGGTCGTCAGACTGGTCGGTCAGCGCCGACCACTCGGAGACGGCGGCAGTCGGAGAATAATGCAAACGACGTGCCAGCTGCACACCCCGCCGCATCCACTCAGTCCAATCAACCGAGCTCTTCGCTTAGCGTAGAGGTCAAACTCTAAACAGCTGCACAGTGCACTACTAGTCTATGCCTCCCATCCACGCGATATGTCGGCACTTTCAATGGGCAGAGGCATGCTGCGTTTGAGTGCAAAAATTATGGGCATTATGCTAAAAATTAAGATCGCAGTTAGAGTTAGGACGAACTGCGCCTCTGCCGTGCTGCAGCTTCATCATTCTAAGCTACCTCTGCGCGATGCTGTGGGAAGTCTGGACCGATTCTTGATTACCCCGGGACAGAGGCTTTAGGACCTACACAGGAACTACGCGGTATAATTTGGTGCGGTCCATGTTTTGTCAGTTCGACTACACATCACCTGCTTCAAACGCCAACGCTCACACCGAGTGCCAGCTGTGGAACAGACGCAGGCCGATGCTGGCGGCCCTCACGCTGCTCCAGAGCATCTTGCCCCTGCCGAGGACCTCGGCCGAGCTCAGGAGCTCGTCGGTGTGTTTCTGCACCTCGCTCCAGGCGAACTGCACGTCTCGGGACTCGGTGTAACGCGAGCAGACCACGAAGCGTAGAACGTACGTCTCACCGGGCAGCATGGCCGGTACCATGTGGATCCGGCGAGCTCCGTTGATGCGCGCCAGCAGGTGGTCGTTGATCATGTTGCCGTATTTCTTCAGACGGAAGCAGACGAGACCCAGAGTGACGGGAGCGGCGACTTCGAAGCGATCGTCGCTGCGCACCAGCGCCTCGAACTCCTTCGCCAGCTTCACCTGGCGACGGATGTGCGCTCGAAGCCCGTCTGCGCCGTACAGACGCATGACAAACCACAGCTTCAGCGCCCGGAACCGGCGACTCAGCTGGATCGCCCAGTGCCGGTAGGAGGGCATCTCTGAGAACGGCGTTTTCAGGAACAGCGCGTTCACCTCGAACACGTCAGTGAGGTCTCTCGACCGCCTCACCCAGAGCGCCGAGCAGTCCAGATTAGTTAGCAGAAACTTGTGCGGGTTGAAGTTGAAGGAGGTCGCGTGCTCGATACCGTCAATGATGTGTCTGAACTCTGGGCAAACGCAGGCGGCGCCGGCGTATGCCGCGTCGATGTGCAGCCACAGTCCGAACCGTTCGCAGATCGGTCCCAGCTCGGTCAGGTTGTCGTAGGCGCACGACGCGGTGGTGCCCAGAGCGGCCAGCACGTAGAACGGGATGTTGCCCGCCCGCAGCTCTTCCTCCACCGCCTTGGTGAGCGTGTCGCCGCGCAATGACGCATTGCTGTCCGAGGGCAGAGTGCGGATGCGCAGGCCGGAGAGCAGACTGGCGCGGGTCACTGACGAGTGCGCCTGGTCGGAGGCGAACGCCACCAGCTTGGGCAGCAGGGCGGCCCTGTCCGGTGTCACCACCGGGTCGCCGTGCTCGTTGTGCACTGTTCCGTTCGCGCGCAGGAACTCGTTCACCTTGCAGGAGCGCGCCGCCAGCAGGGTGATCAGAGTGCTCTCACAGGCTGACCCCTGGATCACCCCGCCGCCGCCCCGGCCCGAGCTGAACATGAACTGCTCGGGAAGCTGCAGAAGCTGCGCCAGCCAGTCCATCATGATGACCTCCAGCTCGGTGCAGGCGGGCGCCGACGCCCAGGCGATGCCCACGCAGCCGAGGGCGTCCGAGAGCATGTCGGCTAGGAGGGCCGGGTAAGAGTTACCCACTGGGTAGTAGGCGTGGAACTGTGGAGAGTGCCAGTGCGACATGCCCGGCATGATGACTCGCTCGATGTCGGCCATCACGTCGTCCCAGGGCTCCGGTCGCTCGGGCGGCGCCGCCGGCACCAGGCGCCGCATATAGCCGGGCCGCACGTCCGGCGTGACGGGCCGATCGCGCACCGTCTCCTGGTAGTCGGCGATGTAGTCGACCAGCTGGTGGCCGGCGCGACGAAACTCGTCCGGACCCATGGCACAGTCTGCGCCGGGCGCACACCGCACTGCACACCTGACCTGGAGGTCAGCGAGGTCCCCTAACTGCCTACCACCGGCACACTCGCCTGTGGTTTCCGTTTTGCGGCAGCCCACCTTGCACCGATCGTTCCCCGGCGGATGCTGCGCTCTTTGTGCACGGTCCACACGGTCGCGTCAACCCCACCCCTTTTCACCACGGATCGCCGCGCAGGGGCACAGTAAACAGCGACCTTCGGCGGGGCCGGCGCCGGGCGCAGTGCCGCCGGAACCGGCGCGGCGCGGTCCTCTGCCTGTGCCCGGCTGACGTCATTTGACGTCACACACCGCACAGAGCTGCGGCGGGGGTGTAGCGGGTGGTAGGTGCCCTTGCACTCCTCACCCTCCACCCGGCAATCCCTTCGATCTTCCCTTCGAAACCACGGTCGAATTCGTAAATCGTCCATTCACGTGCTACAGTTTTATTAATGTTATTACCTATTTATCTTACTATGTATCTGCCGCGGCATTAGATCTTCACCTCCATAAATCACCCACGCACATTAATCACTTTTTGCACCTATTGGTAAGCAGTTGATGGTTGAATTTCCATGGGACCTACCGGGGAAATACGCTTTGATTTAAACGGTTTTCTTGCAAAGTACTTAACTTCCGTCGAATAAGATACAAACATTGCAAGATACATTATTTTGTTGCGGGTTATGCCGATGAAAGACAAAAAATTTACATTTTTTCTGTTTTTCCTTTCCCATTTTTTGCCTATAGCGGCTTCATGTTCTAATGGGAAACGAAACCGACCTGCGTCGAATTCAGACACAGCAATGGTCAGCTTGTCCCGGACTTGGAAACAAAAGGTCCAATAATGCGATAATAACCTTAGGCCATATAGACCTTTATATACCGTATAGAGAGGTCTATGATTAGGCCATTCTCTTTGCAGGATCCAGGGCGGCATTTGGGGCAAACGCCCCCCTGGGCCCCCCTCCCCGCAGCGCCCGAAATCGACAAAAATTTGCGTTTTTTTACAGTAAAACTAAATTCAACAACTTGTATCAGTAAAAGTTTGTTTTAACCCTATTAGTGGCAGGGGGGTTGTTTTTATCCACCCCTCAGGTTTTTCGGGAATATCTCCGAAACCGCTGAAGCTACGATGCTGAACTTTTCTGACTTTTCCTAAAACTAAATTGGGCACATTCCCTGAAAATTTCAAGTTCATAACTTTACCAGGGGCGGCTCCAGAGCACTGGGAATTGGGGGGTCCTATTCGTGAAGCGAGTCATTTGGGCGAAGATCACGATGCTGCACCAGTTTTACGAACAGTGAATGAAAGGTATCATGTGATAACATATACAGTTATTGTGCATCCTCTTTTGACACGTTTTTGCTATAATAGGCGGATCCAGGCGTCCAAAAAGGGGGGTTATGTTTTACCTCCCAACATAGGTGCCCTGACACCGCCTATGCACGACCAATACAATTGTAGTCGTTCTCTCATAAGAAAATTGTAACATAACAAGACCATTACCACCCTTTTTTAGAAACAGTACCAACAAAAACCTTATTTACTATACTTTTTGTGTACCCCCAATCTCAATGACCTGTATCCGCCTATGATTTTTGAAAATGCATATTTTTAGGATCCATGTGAATTCCTGGTTCATTTTCTATCGATCGGCAAAAGTTGCGTTAAGATTGGTTCAGAAACCTGGCCGTGATAAACAGTCTAAAATGTATCTGCAATTTGCCCGTTTTTACCCCCCTCTACCCCCCTATTGACATTTTTTAATTTTTATTTTTTTTAGAAATGTAGATCACGTTGAGCGAAATCGAATGCCGTTTGAATTTTGAAAATCGGCCCGTTAGATCTCGAGATATCAAGGGGGGTCGTAAACAGCCCCCCCCCCCTGCCACTAATAGGGGTAGCCAGGAGCCTGCCACTAATAGGGTTAATCTGCACAGTAGTGCGTGAGGAATCGAAATCCGATGAGTTTGTGGAATTTCGAGATTCTTTTTTTTAGCATGCCCGCCCCCTCCGCAGCGACCAAGACCGCTTTTCTGGATCTGCCAGTGGCCATTCTAGCATAGGGGAGGTTGGGGTAATTTGGCCGGTGGTATAAATTGGCCGTCCCCACCTGTACAATATCTGATAAAAGTGAATGAAATAAGTCTAGTCTCTATTCATTTCTCATGGGTTGAACTAACTCGAGGAAAAATGTCAAAACTTCCCCCCTGCTTTCTTCAAAATAACTAAAACGTGAATTTCATTAGAAAATGACAACTTTTACTTCCGCTTAAAAAGTTGTACCTATAACATGTAGTACGAGTATTTGGGCTGTAAAAGAATTCCGACATTATACCGCCATTCTGGGGGATGTTCAGTGGTTCCAAGAGCAATTTCATTTAGTTCCGTACAGCCATGAGTCATGACGACTTTATAGACAAAAATTTTCAAAATAGCAATATGGGGTTATTTGGCCGGGACTAGTGGGGCAACTTGGCCGGTGCGCTCAGGGTCGCTTTGCTGGGACTACCGAGTTGTCATGGTCAATTATACCATAAATGACATACCTAATTTATGACCAACTTTGACAACCTTGATGCCTTATTTCCTATCGGGCAGCTGTAAGGGCATGTGACGTCATCAAGGATATCAAACGTTTTTTTTTTTTTTGCTAATAAATCCTAACAGAAAAAAGATACAGCCGCGCAAATGGTTTCATTGTGTTCAGCTCGTCAAGGCGCATCGAATGATATACATGATGACCTTGAAATCACGTCACCTTGAGGTCAAGCGACTTGAGGTAGCGCGACCTGAAGTCAGCCTTTGACCTTGACCTCTCGAGGTCAACACATATATGATTCGATGCGGACTGACGAGAGAATTACGATGCTACTTTAATTTTTGACCTAGCTTGATTACTTATTCGTAAAAAACTGTGATCGCATCTAGAGCCGCTATTTTGACTATTTTCGACCCCTGTGACCGATGAGTCAACCTCCGAAATGCGTCAAATGCGTCGCAGGACACACGTTATTGCTCAATGTGAAGCTGACTCGCCTATGACAAAAAACCCGGCCTCAAACTAACACCGGCCAAATTGCCCCCACACCCCCGGCCAAATAACCCTGCTAGTGGGGCAATTTGGCCGCCTTGCAGACCTTTGTAATACGTCACAATTACAATATAGTAATTACTAATCATTTCAAGTTCACTGTCCAGTAGAGTAAAATGAATGCGACACCTGCCAGCGTTGAGAAAATGCAGAAATGTGTCATCAATTTTAAGTTACATCGTTTTCTTAAAAAAGCGGCCAAATTACCCCATCCTCCCCTACACGTCCTCGTCCGGCCCTCCAGGTATTAAGTGGTTGGTTGCTAACATCACAATAATCGATCTGCATTGATGAATGCGTCTAGTGGCTGATGAAAACCACTGCCTAAATGTGTGCACGAACACTCTTCTCATTTCTATTGAGTCATTTTACAGGAGTGCCTCTGTCATTTAAAGCTATTACACGAAAAACACATAGGCTAACCAACCACTCTTTTGCTGGATGGCCGTTTCTATAACGTGACCATTCCTTGGCTTGCATACGGTAAGGCAGGACACGCTGGAGTCAGTCCAGAGAGAGAAATGGGAAGTCTAGGAAAGTGAACTATCCCAAGTTTTTTTTTTCTGAGTGAGGAATGACTGAGGATCGGAAGCTGCACCAAATCTGCACGGGGGCCTGTCTGAAGGTAATCTACCGGACCCACTGTGCCGTAGGAATCTTAAAGGGACCCTCCCACCTTCAAAAAAGTTAATGAATTGGCATAAAAGTGATGTAGCGTGAATCACAAAGAGCGAAAATGAACATCTACCAAATTTTACCGGAAAATATTCAACCGTTTTCGAGATATAAGACTTTTATTTTTGTTTACTTTTTGGGAACTCCGCTGTTTCTATGACGTCACATAAAGGTTTTCTTTACGTCGGCATTTGGAAGCAATAGTTTGGTATCAAAGTGCGACAAATATTGCGCGAATGATGCGTTTATCTTATCAAGGTCAATATATGATGGCCAATAAAGGATTCCAGGACAATTCTTCTTATGGCATTTCTTCGTATCGCAATTCTTCGTCTGCAAATCTTCGTCAGGGCATTTATTCGTATCGCATTACTTTGTCTCGCATCAGGGTATATGAAAATCGGCTCGCATTTCTTCTTCAACGCAAATATATGCAAGAGTAAGCATTGATGGACAAATAAATGCACCGACGAAGATTTGTAGACGAAGAAATGCGGACGAAGAAATGTCATGCGAGGATTCGTTCGGGTACCATGACATTTATGTGATTTCAAAGTCAAGGTTCACAGCTGATCTGCTAAATCAAGCCAAGAATCCAAACTATCAAAAAACTATAAATATTTGTTTGTCTGTCACAGAGGTCTCAAGCAATATAAGGTTGACATATGTTGAATCAAAAATCTACTGCCACAACTCACATCTCCTGCCTTAGTTTATCATTGTTGTTTTAACTTGCTTTCAAGAGAAACAGAAGCCAGTATCTGATATCACTTCAGATGATTGTTTCAAGATCTGAGTTCAAATGGAATTAAAAGCAAGATCAAGATGAAACAGGGATTATTGCTGTTAAAGTAGTTTGGCCATGATACAACAGGCACATAAATCATTAGCCAAATCAAATACTGGTTGGTTTGTCAAGATGTTTGTTGTCTGTCGTCTGTCGAGCTGCTATGAACACTGAACGCTCTCACTCTTACTTTAAAGAGAGTAGTTTAAGTTGAATGGTAGTGAGCTGTAATTAGACAAAGCAGCTATTCAGTGCTCACATCAAGCCAGGCTAGGAAATGGCATCAACTGTGGTGGGAGGAAGCAGGTTCGGCAGGCCTATGTTGTAAACTTCTGTTGTGTCTTGTGTTTGATCAACTGATGTTTTCTGCTCTGTTTTGTGCAGTGATAGTAGCAGGTAACTGCATGCTTGTCAAATTATGTGAATAAACAAATTCATAACATTGCATTTTTCTCTCCATGCGAGGAACAAGTAAGATGTTGTAGAAAATGTAATAGAGGGCTGCATTGCTGATTTCATGCACTTTATCAGAGCTTTATTTAGAATTGCTTTCCATATGGCTCATTTCCTAGTCCGGCTCGATGTGAGCATTGTATAGACCTAGTCTACTACAGCTCACTAATGCTCAACTTCAACTTCAACTTCCTGAAAGCTACACACAGGCCACAGCACTGAAATTCACAATCTCATAGCTTTTGGCAGAAAAAAAGAAAAGACTTGCCTAGGTAAAATTGGCTGAAAGTATGGCAGAGCAGGTCTTGATGCGTATGCCCATCCGTGTGCTTGCCGAAGCCGAACTGACTGCAACACATTAACTCTGACCCACCATGGTGGCTGGCATATCCTGAACTTTCACCACTCTAAACAAGACAACTTTCAGCCCTCAGCATTGTATTAAAACACTGTGCATGGCAGTTGA